GTTGCTTTCAAAAATTAACTCATGAATTAGAATCTTGAGTGATGTTAATCAGTATACTTTCAACAATATTTAGATTAAGCTACATTTTTACAATCTCGTACACATAGTATAAAACATACATATGAAAATATTCATGTTTCAGTCAATGAAAAATGTTTTGTGGTATAAAATAAAGGTAGGACTGTATTTATGTGCATAAATACCTCAGTTGATGCTTAAAAAAGGGCCAGATATGACATAATGGGTGACATGCAGAGCTGTAGATTTGAAATTCCAAAGTCTAAGCCACAGTATGTTGCTTAACACTACACTTTCAACTGTGAGGCATTATAACTAGACAGTTAGTCCTGCTGTTTGGTTAAAAATAGTCACATGCACAGCAGACTAAACCTTAGCCCTTGTGTCACATGAGGTGTCATTCAGCTTGAAAATGCCAAAAGCTATAATAGTATATATCTTATATCAAAAAAATAAAAAACGTACTTAATGCTAAAAAAGGCATTTGACTCAGTCTGACAAAACTGCCTCCATTTTAAACTAACAACACTAAAAATACCAAACCTCATAATCAAATGGGTCTCTAGTATAGTTTCAAACTGGTCAGCAAAAGTCAAAATTAAGGAGAGCTTATCTAGGCCCTTCCCACTTCTTCAGGAATACCACAGAAGTGTGAACAAAATACAGATTATATATTATATATAATACCAGATTGGCCCGATTATAAGGCGATGTTTTTGATTAATAATTAGGCTGTAAAATGCATGGTCACTTTATAATCGCGGCTGACTATTCTAGCCTACCACAGTCTCAAATGTCCAGATAGCATCTGTCTATGTATGCACACCAGATGTTCACTCAAGGTCATTGCTAATTCTTGCAACTAATCCACCTACAGGCTGTTCAGTTATAGTATTGATTTTGCAGGCCTATAAAATGATGTTATGACACTCAATTTGTTTCTTTCCCATGGTTTCATAGAATGGAGGTCACTTTAGATTCGAGATCACCCTATAATCGGGCCAATACGATATTTGTAAATGTCATCCTGTTTCCACCTTTTTATTCCAACCATGCATCTCAGTATGCCAATGATGTTATCATTTGGAGCATGTCATGCAACCCCGTGGTTGCTGCATTAAAAGTTCAAACATCTCTTGACTAGGGTATTGCCTAGAGTAATAAGTGGTATGTAGCACTCAGGCATGCTAAGTTACAGGCAAGTAGATTTCACAGAAAAATTGATAAACAATACCAAAAATTATCTCAAATTAAACTTAAACTTACGATGAACAGGTAAAATTCCCTACTTCCATAAAATTCCTACATATAATCTTTAATACCTACTTAACTCTTTCAGCATGGGCTTGGTCCCTGGGACTGACCTCATAACCATTTTGTGCTTGTTATAGTATTCATGCTGTAACTTTTAAATTAGTAGACAAATGTTAACAAAATTTGGTACCTTATCTGTAAACATTACAATGATTTCATACACAAAATATCATATTTTTTTTATTAAGTCTTAAGGTTTGTAAAGCAATGTTTTTCTCATGTATTTTTTTTTCTTTTCAGATGTTGCCTATCTATCATGCAAAGTAATATTCATTTTAAGATTAAAAATACTTTTATGTACCATAAAATTTTGATATTTCACATGCGAAATCTTTATAATGTCCAGATAGTTATCAAACATTTCTTAGGAAAAAAAAACTTTATATTTTATCTGTTATTTTCAGTAATTAATCTATGTATGAGTTTTGTAGATTTGACTGATCTTGCAACCACCATAACAAATTAGGAAATAAACATAAATTATGCTTCTTTCATTCTAGAATGAA